TCACAATTATCCATATAGAAACCAGAAGCAAATGCTTCCGTATCAAAATTCGATAGTAATAATCTTTATGGTGAAGAAGGAGGAGCACATACGTTCCAGAAGCAGACTTAACTTTATTACTACTAGCCTCGGTATCTTTTTCAAGTTTTCTTTGAAGCATCGCTCTATTAAATTCACGCCGCATGCAGCCGTTCCATTAGCCGCGTTATTTTTGGCCGCGGCGGCACTTATGAATTTTCCTTAGGAAGGACCTAGCGCAAAATGGATGGTTGCATGCATCACTGGAAAAGCAGTGTAATGCGTTAATGGCAAATTTTAACCGAATTATGTACGCTAACTGGACACCGGTAAGAACTTCATATTAGAACACCATGGGAATTTAATGCTCGCAAACTAGGTTACTTGATGATTGTGCAGCGAAAACTGAACTACAATCCAAGTTTTGCATTCATTTTTACATCATAGGGGGCGTCAATTAATCACGTGAGCAAGTTTTTAAGGATTTTTGGACCCCCTCCCCCTTGATGATACATGGTGATATTTAAAATTACCTCCCTCCCCCACCAAACATCACGTTTATTTTTAGTTATGTGAAAAAACTGTAAAATTTTTGAATAAAGTAATTTTTTTTGAAAATGTTTGATTTTTCAAAAAAAAAAAAACAGTGAAAAAATGAATACACGTGATATCTTACTATACCCCTCCCTCTCCCACGTGATATTTTGTGATTTTATGTCAAACCGCCCTCCCCCTAAAAACCTCACGAGATTAATAGACGCCCCCATACTACGTGTATGAGCTTACATATTATTGTTAGTCTTGAGTAAAGTTAATGAAAGCCTTTGTTTTTTTAAAAGCAGGTCAGATAAATTATATAAAAATAAAACTTGTAAATACCAGGGTGGGGACGGGGGTTCAATTCTGTATGGACCAAATTTGATTAAAGAGAAGACAAATCAAATTGTCGTGAAATTATAGAAAATAATGTTTATGGAACACATGAAAAAAATATTATACCAAATAGTAAGGCAACTCGGAAAATACTACGAATTAGAATTTAATAATTTAATAAGAATTATGACGATAACGCGAAAAATTCTTATATAAAATGTATGAATATCAAATACTTCCTGGCAAAAAATATCAAAAATGCTGTATAATAAGTTGATAATTAGATAAAAAATATAATCAAATAGAAGTATGCTACAGGAGAAAAATCATAACATAAATATTAGTATTTGTATCTCAATTCATATAAAAAATGATGAATTACTCAAAAACTAATTTCAGAGTAATTAATTTGTTAACTTTGTCTACGAACAAAGTCTTCATCTATTTTTACCTTGATCACTCTATTATAATGGGAAACTCACACCCTTTTGATTACTCTCTCAGCCTAGTGAAAATATTATCTTTACATTATGAGAACGAGTAGCTACTAACAAAAAGCTGTTTTGTTTGTTATTGTTTTTTGAGAGAAAATCTTTTGAAGTGAGGAGACAACGTGCAAGTGAGTGACAAGCAAGGTGAACGGTTTTTGAAGACTGAAATTGGATTTCAATTATTTTAGAAACATTATTTAAAAAAAGTTAATAATGGATATAAGAAATTTTCTACCCGTATGATGTATAATTTATAATTAGTATATTGTATGTTATCATTAGTTAATCTGTATGCCAGTTTCAATTCAAAATATAAACATGATTTGTTGTCAGACGTATTAAGAAAAAAAGGTTAATTATACTATTCAATTCGTATACCCAAAGCTTCGTTATTGCTTTCATATCCACTATATTTCCTAATAAATTTGACCCAAGTGATTGGAAAACGGTTTTTACAAAATACTGAAAATGAAAATTTAACGATTAATTGTCAACTACATACTTTCATTTAATATTCCAGCTGAATATTTGTGATATATTAAGCTGTCGAAATTTATGAAACATTGATATATTTATCAAATAAATTTATACAATTTCAAATGAAAAATGTTAAAAACAAACAAAAATGAGTTAAGCCAATGATAAAACAATATTTATCACCACAATATCAAAACTTATCTCTAATAATCGAAAAAAAAAACGACACGAGAGTAGGACGAAAATATTTAATCCCAAAAAAACTCATTTAACGAAACAGATAATTATATAGACCATCAAACTAAAACTAGATTTTAGAAACAAGTTTGGAATATGCTACCTTTGCAAAGGTACGTAAAATTTTTTAAAGATTTGAAATTTTGTTGTATAATTGAGAAAACTTTGAATAAAAAGTACTGCAATAAAAAAGGAAATGTATTACCCAAGTGCAATTTGGTATTAACCCAGTTGAAAAAATAGAGTAAGTGACAATAGGCTTGTGACAAATAATATAGCAAATCCCAAAAAAAACGCATCAAAATTTAAAATTCGATGTAATAAATGCCATAGAACAAATACTTGATTGATATAATGATTATGTACACACCGTAATTATGGTAAATATTTTAACCAATTTTGCAAACAAACAATAAATATGGTCAATGCCGATGAAATAAAAATACAGTTTGAAATAATAAAATACAAGCCCATATATATTCATTAATGCGTCATAATAATGAGCGCAAAATATAATTTCATATCAGCTAATAAATGAACAGGTGCAACTGGTTGATGTTTATTATTAATTAAAATCATTAAGGTAATCAAACATAAAAGTGACTACGTCAAAATAATACGCAAGCGGAATATATCGAGAAATATTGCCAGAGAATATTAGAGTAGCCGATAAAATGAAGAAAACACAATGATTTTTAAATTAATTAGTTTCTAAATAAAAAGACCTTTCTATTGTAAATCCTATTGTGTTTAATATATAAGAATACTGTAATTTATTTCCACGTATTTATCAGTGCAATGTATCAATAGATCAAACATATATTAAACAAATTAAAAAATGGATTTTATTAAGTCAATCTGTACTTTTCGCATCTGTTACGAAAGTGATCTGTTTTAATTCCTACAAATATCTAAGTATATGTATACAGAAGTCTCCAGAATAGTACACATAACACATGCCGGGTTTCTGGGCGTAGGTAACAATAATTTTCAGAATTCGTAATTACTGAACACACTCTGCGAGTTGCTTAAATGCAACTGAAATTAATTAAATTGAATTGAAAATGTTTCTCAATACAACTCGGTGGCAAAGCGCATACAGAGGAATACATATCCACATAAAAGTATATATATATATATATATATATATATATAAATTCATACAGATATATAATCATATATACACATATATGCATTATGTTTCGTAAATTGAATTCTGTCATGTTATGCGCCACTACCATTGTTTGAATATAAATCAACACGCCCAATGTTATTATTATAACACACATTTTAAGTGTTGGGAGTAAATTAACTAAGAGTTCAAATTGGGCTATTATGCCAAATAATTAATTGAAAATGTTATGCAAGCAAGGAATCAATTTGATGTAATTGGCATTTGCTTGTAAATCACTAAATGAGAAATGAGAAATGAGAAATGATTGTAACTGATCGGTTACATTTGCAAAATATTGAAGGAAAATAGCTCGTACCTTAAAAGTACCATAATTTTCAACCTATGTGTATGATATACGTATAGTATTAGGTGTATGCATAATTATATACTATAGATACTAACAGTTAAATCTCACAAAAATATTTTGGAAGCGAAATAGTTCATCGAACTCGTACGACTTTTCAGTGCCCCAAATCTATCTCTTATATACATTTACTTTCATAACTAAAAGTAAGTGAAAAAATGAATATTTCAGTATTAATGATTCATAACCATCTAAGGGACAATTAAATGTTAATTACCACGATAAATTAAATTTTATTTCAAAATGTACGAAACACATACGCACTGCTAACATTATTAGTACATAAATAAAGCATTGCATTACAAATTACAAAACATAAATCATTAAGAGACTTCAAATATTTTATGACTTTATTGAAAGTATACAAAATTTATCGAACAATTCAGCCGATGGTAAATCAAAAAGAACAAAAATCTGAGTTATAAGTTTGAATTCTAATATACATTTTAGGAAATATATTTAATTCAACACAATTTTACTTAAAATGGAACTTCAATTCTCTTTGAAAGATATTGATTGAAAGATCAAGATCTTAAGACTATGTTATACTCATAATTATAAAAAAAAATACCGGAAACCCGCAAAATTATTCAGAAGGTTATTTTTATAGAAAAATTCGTTATTCTTATAGAATGGATTATAAGTCTCAGATACGATTTTAAATGATTACATATTGATAAATATAAATATATAAATATATAAAATAATAAATAAAAAGTAATAAAAGCAACTCGAATGTATAATTAAATAAAACGCAATAATAAAAAGTTGTTTATAATATACAAACAATGATGTTTTAGGGTGACATAGCTTCTGATTGATTAATTTTACTAACAAATTACTAGCAAAAACAAAAAAATCAGTATGATCCATTTTTCATGAATGTAGAAAAGTAAATAAAATTTGATTTGATCCACTGCTATAGTCAAAACAATGCTCAATAAACAATTTCTTTTCTAACAATTTGTATTTAAAGACATTGTTAAATTGAAAAACACGTTAAACTTAGACAAGTCGAAGTCAATTAAAAAAATGCAATAAAGATAAAATATTATGTCGAGTTATGAACAAATTTGTATACTCGAGTTTCAACCCCTGACATTAAACTTTAATAAGAATTGATTACGCGCAGGTAACAAACAAGATAAAAATTCATCTACGAGTACTTTCTTTACACCAAAGCGATTCGCAGCAACATTAATATATATCCTATCTACTTCAGAATTTTTTCCCATAAAACATGTCTGCAGATCCGTTAATACTTGCACATAAATATAAGTAGTAGTGTAAGTACAGCATGTACACAGATATACACATATCATAGTTACAGCAACATATAAAAACATATAAATTGATTAAAACTCACCCCTCCCAGCGTCTTTATGTTGTGCAACGCATCCTGGGCTCTGAGGGCGGCTTTCCTCGTGAAGAAGGTAACGAAGCAGCATCCTGCAAGAGAAGACAAGGGACGAACACATCAGCACAGTCAAAGTCAAAAATATACAATACATTGTCGAGATATAAAGATACAGGACACAGGACAAATTTGTGTTAAAGGACATAACGCCAAGCACAAATCACATGATTTTTTATTTGGAAATAAAATAGGGTAGGTGAGGTCATAGAACTCGTATATTTATATTATTATCGTTTGTAGACACCAAATTGATGAACACTTTTACTAAAAATGATAGTATTGATTTTACTCTAACTAAGCGTTATAATATTGTGATATATATAGATATTATATTAATGAAATAGATATTATAGTCAAATGAAATGTAAATATTATATGAAAACTGTTTTTCATAATCTCTCATACCAGGCACCTCTGTCTGACTGAGATATGAAAATAATGTATATATGTAAATAAATAAAAAAAAAAAAAATATATAATATATATCATAGATAAATCCTGAATTTTTCAATGAATTGATGAATGTTTGTCTATGAACGAATAAAACAGTAATCTTTTTGTAAACGTTTAATTTCGAGGTATTTAAAATTCTGTAATTATCAAATGATTCACCAATGTTGTTTCTATAAAGAAGTGTTTCTTTACCTTATGATGAAAGGTATCTGGTTCCAAAACGTCGTAATTAAACATCTTCAAAAATCACTTTTAATTTTTTTGATTAATTGTTAAGAAAAGATACATATATATATATATATATATTAGAGTAGTCCTTAATATTTTCGAATTTCCTTGCTCCCAAGCGCTCAAATGATTCCAAATTGATAAAAAACAATTCTCTGAAAGTTTTAGCTCTTAATATTGTCTTTTAGATAGAGCGCAATTCAATCAAAGATTTGTATGGAAATTGCATGATTTTTTTTTATTAAATTTGGCAGAGCGTCAAATTTTCAATAAAAAATGACACGAATTTTCACTTTTAATTCATTTGTCGCTTAGTTTGACCTAAAATTTTTTTTTTATTTTCAGAATATTTTCCATGCTATTTCCATACCAAGTTTGATTGAATTGCACTCTATCTAAAAGACAATATTAAGAGCTAAAAGTTTTAGAGGATTGTTTTTTTATCAATTTGGAACAATTTGAGCCCTTGGGAGCAAGGAAATCTGAAAATGTCCATATGAAGGACCACCCTAAAATATATATATATATATATATATATATATATATATATAAAATTGATGTATAATTTAAATTATCGAAGTTTGTCAATGATTGGCAAATATAGTGCTTTAGTTAGTTTCATTTTTAAAAGACATAATTGATAAATAAAAATTATTTATCTCTTTATTTTTAGAAGATATTTCATACTTATAATAAGCTTTATTGATAAAGCATTGTCCAATATCTACTAGGTAAAGTGTATAAATCACAAATCCCATGTAATATATAATAATATATGGTTTATTACGAATGAAATAATATTAATAGTTATACTTTATACTTGAGAAAGAAGAAAAATATCTAATTCCAAACCGACGAAAATATCAGTATTCATTTGGATTATATATTCTAAGAACTTCTTAAGATCTTGTTCATTTAAAATTGTGGAGTTTCTGTCATAAATTTTTACGCAACTATTTCAAAAGAAAATATATATACCAATGATTAAATTTTGCCAATAAAATGTAGATTTATCTAATCAAATTTAAAAAAAAGCACAAAAATTAGCTCAATTATGCAATATTTTATGCGCCTTCTAATATTACTAGTCAAAAAAGTTAAAAAGCTTTTGTATCGCCATCAAAGTTAAATTTTCATTTTGAACAAATGGGACTAAATTCATTATTTTCTATTACTATATTTTTCATTGTAAATATAATTGTATTAATTTTAATACCTATAGACATCTTAGTTATTATTTAGATGTTCTATTCGAAACACAAACGATAAAAATTCTTTATGTTCTTTCATTTAAAATTGTTGCCTTTTTAATTCTATATAATACCATTACATTTAAAGAATGTTCTTTCTATATAAAAAAATGTTCAGTCGATTTAAAAAAATGTAAATTTCCTTTTTATTAATAAAAAAGTTCAGTGAAAATTATCTATAAACCAATTCTGCCGTAAAAGAGACCAATGTTATGACAAGGCTATGTCAAAAGTAGCATGTTTCATATAAAGTTGTACTAAAAACTGCCAAAACGCTACACAACATAGCCTTGCCACAGCATTGGTATAATTTACGGCAGAATTGGCCCCTTAGATTTTATATTAAAATTTAGATAACAATGCGTTAAAAAATAACTGATTTTTACTTCAGTGAAAAAATGCTAATTAATAGGGCTTACATTTATCGTTCTAGTAGTCTAGTATAAATTAACCGAAAAAAGAACACAAAAGAACTACTGAAACGAAGTATATAATAGAAAATAAATAGTGTAGATGTAATTCTAAAAATTATTTACATCTCTTTATTACCATATATAACTACATTTTTCTGTGAACGTTTGTGAAACCCATTTGTCTTTATCTGACTGAGCTTCACTTGCTTTGCTATGCACGAGAGAGATCGTGTTGAGCGAAAGTTTTCATTTAATTATTTACGAGACACCCTCGAGTTGGATATTTAACGCGGATTATCCGTGTCACGTGTTTTTCTTTTTTCTTTGGGCTTTCACCCAAAACTTATTTGTGCCTTGAAAACAAGTTTGAATTTGTTTTCAATTTAGATGATGATGTAGAAGTGAAGACGAAGTAGTATTTGTCATTAAGATTAAAAACTGAGATCATAATTTCTCGGACGCGACTGATTTATAAGTAATTGCGAAGTGTAAATTAGAAAAACTCAATTAGAATTTAATTATCAAATTATTTTCTATTGAAATAACTCAACCCTTCCTTATTGTCCCTGATTCGACCATGTATTGGCATATACCTTACAATTAGTGTTTTCCATTATTTCCAATATCATATATAACATTTTAGTTAATGCATTTTTTTATTAACTTCCCGTAGGGTAAGTTATTGTAATCGTCCAAAAATTGAAATTGAAAATTTTTACATTTCTTCACGTTTTGAAGGTTTCTGAACATTTTGGCATACCTCAGAAAAAATGGATGTGTGTGTGTGTGTAATGATATGTATGTATCGATACAATTTTTCGTACACGTTTTAGGGCACACGGATTAGCCGATTTGAATGGTTCAAAAATCATTCGATTCCTATTGATAGGTAGATGTGCTGATTAGATTTTGGCAAAGGCAAGTCCAGCCGTTTCGGAGATACGGGGCAAAGAGTGCAGAAAATCGAAATCGAGCTTTTGAGAGACTGGAGTATCCGATTTAAACCATCTAAAAAATATTCAATTCATAATGACAAGAAAAAGTGGTGATTAGTTTCTGGCAAAGCTAGGACCAGCCATTTCGAAGATTCAGAAATAAATGTACAAAAAGACAATTTTTGAGAGAACTAAACATCCGATTTGAATGATTCAAAAAACTTTCTGCTTGTGTTGACAAAACAATTGCTTTCGGGATTTTTTTAAAATCGAAAATGGTTCGAATTTTAATTTCAATTCTAGCTAAAGTTCTAAAGCTCACTTATATACTTCAAATAAATAATTTTAGCTTTGCAATTGAGTTTATATAATTCTTAAAATCATTAGACAATGTCCTTCCTGTTAAGTTCGTTTGGCGTTTTACTTACTTTGAGTTTTATTCACTTTTCTGTAAATAAACATATATAAGTTTTAGCATTTATAATAATCTATTTGAAAACGTTTATTATTCCTCGAACAGTTCATTACGGTACGAGAAGTTCCAGCAATTTATCTTAAGGTACAATGCCATACACCACTATATACCTTAGTGTTTATTCATTATTTCCAATATCATAGAATATTTTAGTCAACACAATTTTTTTTAATTATTAACATTATTCTACAAAATTGGCATATCATTAAATGAGGTATTAAATATTTGTACAATTCCATATAATAAGAAAAAATGTTGCACTGCATATAATAAGAAGAATTATATAATAAGAAAATTACTTTCTAGAAACTCCAATAATTCATTAAAATTATACACACTATGAACATTGGCTCAATAGTTTTTGTGAAAAAGCTCAGTAAAATCCCAAAGTTTTTCAGACTTTCTACAGCATAAGATGTAAAATATATATATCAGTTTATATTACATTAAGACATTATTAGCAGTCGCAAATGTTTCCTTCCCTTGTTTTAGAAATTTTGTTACCGCAGTGCGCGTACCTGAGACACGCTCCGCACATATTTTTGTCGTAAGAGAGTAGCTAATGCGACATCAAGAATTGAAATGAAAATATAAATGTCTTTTCTTTGGCCCGGAGTTATTTCGCAAATGTCACTATGGGGTGTTATTTTTCGCATACCAAGCTTCATATTAAATATACTCCGGGGGTTGAATTTCCATGCTCGTGAAGGTGCGGTTCTGAAAGTACCCTTCACGCTAGGATGCAAGCGGAGAAAATTTCAAGATTGGGCTCAGATATGAATACTATGTAGGTATATAGTTTGTAAGGAAAGGACTGTACCATCTTCATCGAAAAGGATCGTATTAGCTCAGTGCTGTGAGATTTTTATTCAAATTGTATTTCTAACTCAATACATTAAAATATATGTACCTACAATTGCTAATGCAGAGAAAGGCATGCTAATCTATTTAATTCACGTTAACATTCCACGAGATAACAATTTATTGATGGTTTTCTTTGCATCAGACCTATTTGCTATCAATGGAGTTGATGTTCATCAGAATACTTTAAATAATTATTATTTTCACAATTTATTCGTCCAGTAGTGTAAAAATCAGTTCTGTCATCATACGTTTTCGAATTTATTTTTCAAATTTCAACTTATGTGTTTGTTTTGTGCAAGTTTTCATACCCTATGCAATAAATTAAATCATTTAAAACCATTTCAAATCTATTCGTAGAACGAACATAAGGAATCATGATACGATGGAAGGAATGTACAAGATCATAGGTTATAT